AGGGTGCTAGACCTCTTTACAGATGGTTGTGAGCCACCATGTGGTTGCTGGGAATTGAACTCAGGACCTTTGGAAGAGCAGGCAGTGCTCTTAACCACTGAGCCATCTCTCCAGCCCCTAGTTAGTGATTCTTAAATATTATAAAAACATTCACACCAGAGCAAACTCGTAGTAAATCTTTGAAAGGACTGTTGTGCTGGAGACAGGGCCCGGGGGTTGAGAGTGGATACTGTTCTTCTAGAGGAGCTGAGTTCCCAGCACCTGTGCTGGACACTATCACTGCCTGTAACTCCTGCTCCAGGGACTCTGACACTTGCTGGCCTCCGAAGGCACTTTTTAAAAAGGCTCCTGTACTAAGTGGTCCCTTTTTTTGTCCCCCTTTCTTTGGAAACAGATCTGAAGAGATTCGCTGTCCGCGGAGCATAGCTGCCCTCGGCCTGTGCACTACTTGTTTGGCAATGCTCAGGAGATTGACTGTTTCACAGGTGCTCTTTGCTGTTGCCCTTGGAATTGCTGGAGGAATGTATATTTATCAGCCAATATTTGAACAATATTCCAGAAACCAGAAGGAATTAGAAGAAAAGCTGCAAGGGTTTCAAGCAGCAGAAGAAAAGAAGAGCTAATTCCGTGTCCAGTGAATTTGTAGGCACTGCTCGCCATTCTACTGAAATTACACATGGACCTAGTAAAAATTTAGGTACATTTTAATAAATAAATCATGGGTAAAGGATTAAGGTTATTTGTTTATTTATAGTTTTGTTTTCAAGACAGGGTTACTCTGTGTAGTCCTGGCTGAACTAGACTTTGCTCTGTAGACTAGACTGGCCTCTAACTCAAGAGATTTGCTTGTGTCTGCCTCCCAAATGCTGGGATTAAAGGTGTGAGCCACCACAACCAGGCAATTTATTTATAACATTAATTCTTTGTTGGTTTGTTTCAGGGCAAGAGTTCACTATGTAGCACAGGCTGGCCTCAAACTCTAAGCTTGGTTTATGGGGGTACCGGCATTTGTTTTTTAGCTAGGATCTATCTATGTAGCTCAGGCTGGCCTCAGACATGCAGTCCTGCCACTGGTTCTGGGATTACAGAGTCTCAACACATCTAACAAATAAGATAATTCATTTTAAAAAATGCTTCTTTTTACAACATCTTGAATTTTACAGGCAAATGGATGGAGCTAGGAAACATTTTGAGTGCAGTAACCCAGACCCAGAAAGACAATTATCACATGTACTCACTCATAAGTGGTTTTTAAACATAAAACCAGCCTACAAATCACAATCCCAGAGAACCTAGACAACAATGAGGACCCTAAGAGAGACATACATAGATCTAATCTACATGGGTAGTAAAAAAAGACAAGATCTCCTGAGTAAATTGGGAACACAGGGGCCTTGGGAGAGGGTTGAAGGGGAGGGGAGAAGCAGGGAGGGGAGCAGAGAAAAATGTAGAGCTCAATAAAAATAAAATTTTTAAAAAATACTTTTAAAATTAATATAATTATGTGTGCTTCATGTGGGTTATACACACGAATGCAAGAGCCTCTGGAGGCAAAAATTGTTGAATATCCTATAGCTGGAGTTACAGATGGTTGTGACCTGCTTGTGGGTCCTGGGACTTTAATCCAGGTTCTGTGTAAGAGCAAAAGTGCTCTTAAATGCCCAGCCATCTCTCCAGCCCCGAGATGCTTTGCTTTAGTGTTCACTTATTTGCCCTATTATGTCTTCTCAGGACAGGGCATAATTTCCTGTTGCAGAGGTGAATTCAGTATGCTTAGTAGTTTAGTGTGCATTCTTTCCTGTGCTGGAGAGATGGCTCAGCACTTAACAGCACTGGCTGCTCTTTCGGAGGTTTTGACTTCCCAGCACCCTGTTGGTGGTTCACAACCATCTATAACCGTAGTTGCATAGGGTCCATGTCCTCTTCTGGTGTGCAGATAGATGTACATGCAGACAAAACATTGATATACATAAGACATCTTTTTTAATTCCCCTTTTGTACAGTCCACACAAATGTGAGAGTTCTGCCTGTTAGAATTTTCCAGTTTTAGAGACTGAATCCAGGGCTTCCTGACGCTATGAAAGTGTGCTCCCACCGACCTATACATCCCAGTTAGAGAAGGTTGTGAGCTGCCGTGTGGGTGTGGCAGCTAAACCTCCATCCTTTGAAAGAGTAGCAAGTACTCTTACCCGCGGAGCCATCTCCTCAGCTCCTGCTTTTTAAATTCACATAGAATTCACTCAGTAGCCAAGACAGGGCTTAGTTTATAGAGTAGTTTTAGCTACAGGCCTGTGCCGTCAGAGTTGGCTTTCTTATTTTTTTAAACTCTTGCCATGTAACCCAGGATGGCATAAACTCATGACTGAGCACAAGTTGACTTCAATCTGTTTCCTTCACCCCTTTTCCAGACTGACGTCACTTGCCTTGATTTGGTGTTTCTTGGATGTGTTCAGACGCTTACTTATTTTGTAGAGAGGGTCCCACTGTGTTGCCCAAGCTGACTTCAGACTCTGGGATCAAGTGATATTCCTGCTTGAGCCCCCCTTATCTATCCCCGCCCCCCCAGTGGCTGGAATGCAGGCACCTTCCATTCTGTCCATCTACCAATCACGTCTTTTACCTTCCATATTGAGGTCCTTACTGAATGTTGCTGAGTCTCCTACTTAAGCATTAGTCTTACAGGTAAGTTCTAGGGGCCAGGAGCAACTTAACTTAGTCCACTGTTGCAGCCTATGTGCCCTGAAGTGCCTACTCACTGAAAGCATCCTCAGGTGATGAATGGCCACAGTACCTGTCTGTAAACGCCAAGTCCTGGCCCTGCTCAGCTGCAGAAGTGGAGAACGCTGAAGGTGGGTATTCCACCTGGATCTTACCACCAGCACTCACTGTGTTGTTCCCTAATATAGTTCATAGACTGTCCCCCAAAGTTTGTGTGTGGGGCGTTCGGTCCCCAGTGTGTTGAAATTGAAAGATGGTAGCTCCTTAAGAGCTAGTTCCTGAAGGAAGACAATTGCCTGACTTTTCCTGAGGAGTCTGTTTCTGTCCCAGATAGAGAGGAAAGGATAGAAAAGATTCTCTTCAGGGCCAGCTTGGTGAAGCCAGTGGGTTTATTGGGATTACTTACAGAAGCGTGGGTGGCTCCAGGAGCTGCTGTCCTCAGAAGGCCCCTTGGACATAGTTGAGAAACTGAGCGCACTGTGATGCAGTCCCAGTAGCAGCAGACAGGAGGGTGGACTGGCCGGCAGGAACGGGACTGCTGGAGTTTGTGGGGAGGCCTCTCGGATAGACAGCTGCATGGACAGGAGCTGAACTCAGGCTTCCGGGCATCTTGCTCCTCTCAGATGTGGAATTCTGAAAGCACAAAGGGGCAGGCCGAAAGGCCAGTGTTGAAAGCTCCGAGCCACCTTTGGATGGATTTGGATAATAATCTCATCCCCGGGTCAACGTCCAAGCTCCTAAAAGAAAACCCTGGGCATCGAGAAGAGGCCGCTGGGAGGCAGCAGAGGCTCACAGGTTGCTCCTAACCCTGTCTTACATGTTATGCCGCCCCACAATTTCTCTTACTGTGTATTAACTGTCCTATCAGTGTTTTAGAAATTCAGGCTGCATGTAAGCAGAATTAGACTGTGTTCGCGTAGACTCCACTACGCTGGCCTTTACCTCCCAGAATGGTGTTTGTTTGTTTGTTTGTTTCCTGCCTGAATCTTAACTTATTTTTCTCGCTGTCATATCCAGGAACCCCCGGCAGGCCATGCCCAGACTGTCCCCAGCGAGGATGCACAGCCAGGAAAGGGCTTTTAGGACAGATCTTCGTAGGTATCAGGGCACGCCTCGCCTCGCCAGGATCCTGGGGCAGTTTGACCTTTTTGTGAATGGTACTAAGGGTCTCAAAACGAAAACCACCCCCTGTGGTTCCCGCACCTTCCTCAGCAAGGCAAGGAGATCTGTTCCGGGCCAGGCGAGGCAAGAGGTTGTTTCTGTGGCAGGGGGCCTGCGGGCAGGTGACAGGAGGCGGAGGCGGAGGCCGCGCAGGGCCCGCCCCCGCTGCGCTCTCCTTCACGGGAAGTGATGTGGGGCCGGACGGAAAAAACCGCCAAGCACCCAAAAAAGGCCAGTCATTTGGGGTCGCAAGCTCCGTTTGGAAGGGAGTGCGTAAGGGATTAAACACTACGGGGACGCAGTACCTCGAGGACTCAGCACTGCAGGGACCCAACGCCGCGGGGACAGCACCAAAGCCCAGAGCACCGAACCGGGTGAGTGCTCTATGTCCTCCGTGCCTCAGGTTGAGGGTGATCGATCTGGCCCAGGGGCGACTAGGGGACAGAGGATCTTCAGACGGGATGCTGGTCCCGTTAGGTTCCAGGGGTTGGGGTCCAAGGTTTCCCCAAGTGAAATCTAAGTGTCAGAGTCCCCATAAGGAGGTAAGGAAAGGAAGGTCCGCTCCACCCGGCTCTTGTTCCCTCGCTTGGGTTTTGACTTTAAAGTCTTTAGAGTCCCGCTGCTTGCAGAACAGAAAGGGCTCTCCCCTTTGCTGAGAGCAATAGAGAGCCCAACCTGTCAGCCAGGTCGTAGTTACCCAAATGGAGGCAGAATTAATGCGATGACACATTTTGTTCACTTTGTCAAGGCCGGGTCTCTGCCCTGCAGCTGGGTACCGATTTAGAAATTGAGGTCTGAAATGTAGGCGATCTTGAGATCTCAGCAACGCCCTGGCCCTTGCAACCTGCTGTTCCCTGGAGTGTTCCCCACAGGTTTCTCTTATAAGCCCGAGGGCTAACAGCTGTTCCATTTAGCTGTTCAGCCCCGCTGCCTGAGGGAGGCAGGAGACATTTTAAAATCCTTTCTTTAAAGCTTTCTGGGGAGTGAAAACAGCGTGGAAAAGGTAATCCTCGCATTTGGGAGGTGGACAGAAAAGGAGTCAAGGGTCAAGGTCAGCCTTGCTAAGTTGTCAGCTTGAGGCCAGCCTGGGTTACAGGAGACCTGTCTCAAAAAATAAAACCACAAGGGAAAAAAAAAAGAGCTGGGCTGTGGCGGCGCGTGCCTTTAATCCCAGCACTTGGGAGGCAGAGGCAGGCGGATCTCTGAGTTCGAGACCAACATGGTCTACAAGAACTAGTTCCAGGACAGGGTCCAAAGCTACAGAGAAACCCTTGGGGGGGGAGGGAGAGAAGGAAGGGAGGAAGGAAGGAAAGAAAAAAGAAGTAAAAAGCATACAGCAATGCTGAACAACACCTGAATGAGAATTGCTTTCTGTATTTTCCCTTGGTTTCCCTCCCTCCCCTCACCCCATCCCCTGCTTCCTTTCCATAACCTGTCATAATTTTTGTGTATTTATTTTTGACAAATTTGTGTATGTGTGAGTGTGTATGAAGGTCCATACATGTGCATTTATAGGGCAGAAGTCAGTTGACTGTCTTCCTCCATTACTAGCCACTGTGTGTGTGTGTATATGTATGTGTGTATGTATGTATGTATGTATGTATGTATGTATGTTTGTCTTTTGTTTTTAAGATGTGAGTCTCACTGTGTAGCTCTGGTTGGCCTGGAATATACTACATAGACCAGACTGACCTTCAGCTCACAGAGATCTTCCTGCTTCTGCCTCCCGAGTGCTAAGATTAAAGGCCTGGCCACCTTACTTTTGTTGAGACAGGTTTCTCACGGAACCTGGAGCTCCTTGTCTGGACTGGTTGGTCAGTAAGTCCCAGGGGTCCTCCTCTCCATCCCCAAGCATTCGGATCATATACCCGTACCTTCACACTTCAATGTGGGTTTTGGGGATCTCAAAGCAGACTCTCCTGCTTGCATAGAAAGTACTTTGCTCACGGGGCCATCTCCCCTGTCATTGTTTTGGTTTTGATTTTATGAGACAAAGTCTGACTCTCATACCAAGGCTGGCCTTGAACTGGTGACAATCCTGCTTCAGCCTAGGAAGTGCTGGGATTATAGCTGTGTGCCACCATGCCCGGCACTGTAGCTGTGTGCCATCATGCCCGGGACCATAGCTGTGTGCCACCATGCCCGGGACTATAGCTGTGTGCCCCCATGCCCGGCACTGTAGCTGTGTGCCACCATGCCCAGCAGGCTGTTTGTTTGAGGTCATGAATATTTGTGCTTATGATAATTTTTTTTGTACACCCAGAATTCTTATAGTTTTAACCTCTCTATTCTTGGGTTAATTTTAAGTTAATTTTGTGTGTGGTGTGGGGTAGGGGGTCTAACTTTATCTCCTCAAATGTGGATATTCACTTTTCCCAGGAGTGTTTGTTGACATGACTGTTTGACCATTTGAATTTTGGCCCTTTGGCACTTCTGTTGGAAATAAATCAGATACAGACGTGGAGTTTGTGTCTGGATTTGTAGTCTTCTACGTACCGTAGGCCTGTTACTACAGTGGTGGTACCCTGTCCAGATGATTGAGTTTTGAAGTTAGGGCATGCCAGGCCTCCAGCTTTTCCCTACTGTTTTGTGGTTGCTCTTGGCCATGGAGAGTCCCTTGTATCTCTGTGGAAACTAAGGCCAGTTTCTCAACCCTCTTTCCTTGGCTTTCGAACGAATGCAATGCAGACATTTTGAAGTGGGCAGGAATCTCTGGGAAGCAGACTTTGCACTTCCTTTGCCTTCCCCATCTGTCAGGGTCCAGTCCCAACATTATTATCTCTCTGACCAATGTGGAGGCGTGGGAATAATTGAGACACAATTCACATGGCAATATCAGGAGGGAGTCTTAGGGTTCGTTCAAACCCTGAAGATCACCCGCATTTATTATCCAAACAGCTTTTCTATCAAAAGGTAAACTGAAGGGGAAGTTTATTGGCATTTTGTTTTGGGGGTAGCGGGACTAAAGTCACATCTGCAGTATGGCTGCTCTGTCACAGAGCCTGGATTAACACCTCTCCCCAGGCGATCTCCACAATTACAAAGAACAGAGCAGAAAGATATTGGCATATCCTGATCCTTTCAGAATGGCAACATCCTGTCTGAGAGGCTTTGTGACCACCTCTGTGTGGCCAGGCATGAGCTGTCCTGTAAGTTTGGCCATACAATGGAGGGCCTGTATAATATTGCCCACACTTCACTCCTGCAGAAGCTCACACTGCGCCCTGGAATTGCCGGCCTGTATAATACTACCCACACTTCACACTGCAGAAGCTCACACTGCACCCTGGAATTGCCGGCCTGTATAATACTGCCCACACTTCACACTGCGCCCTGGAATTGCCGGCCTGTATAATACTGCCCACACTTCACACTGCGCCCTGGAGTTGCCCTCAAGTCTCTTCTTCCCTTCATGTCCCATACCCAACCTGAGCAAATGTTCCTGAGTCTACCTTGAATATAACTAAATTTGTTTTGTTTACAAACATTTTTAAGTGGACAGAGAAATGGCACAGCAGTTTAGAGCACAAACTGCTCTTCCTGAGGACCCAAGTGTGATTCCTAACACCCGCATCAGGCAGCGCAGCTGTTTCTAACTCCAACTTCAGAGAATCCAATGCCCTCTTCTGGCTTCTGCCAGCATTGTATGTACTCATACACGCACTCGTGCGCGCACACACACACACACCCACACCCACACCCACACACGTAATTAAAATAAATAAATAAATAAACCTTCTAGTAGTTACATTTCCTGAGTCAGATTGACTAGTGGCTAAGAGTACTTGCTTTTGCAGAGGACCTGGGTTTGGTTCCTAGCACCCACATAACAGCTCATTAACTGTCAGTAATTCCAGTTCCAGTGGACCTGGTGCCCTCTTCTGGCCTCCACGAGCACTGCACTCTTGTGTTACATGTACATACATGCAGGCAAAACACATACACAGGAGCTCAAAATAAATCTTTTAAAAATATTGCATTTATTTATCATTTGTGTAGGATGTGTATGGGAGGCCAGAGAACATCTTGTAGGAGTCTGCTCTTCCCTTCCACCACATGGGTCCTAGGGATTTAACTCAGCTCCTGCAGCTTGGTGGTGATCACAGAGATGCCTTGTCTACAGTGTTTTAGTGTGTGTGTATTTGAAACAAGGCTTCGTTATGCATCTCAGGATAGCTTGGAACCCAGTGAATAGCCCAGGCCTCAGCCTCCTGAGTGCTAGCTAGGTTTAGAGTCAGACAGACTGGGGTCGCATCATGGCTTATGGCTTACACACACACACGCGCGCACACACACACACACACACACACACACACACACAGAGAGAGAGAGAGAGAGAGAGAGAGAGAGAGAGAGAGAGAGAGAGAGAGAGAGAGTTGGGGCTTCCACTTAATCATCCCAGACTCTTTGGATATATAGGTGCCAGGGACTCAGGTCGAGCCCTCACCAAAACAAATTGTAATGCAAATATCTGTGTTTTCTGCGGGCTTTAGGCAATCCCTGTGAAAAGGTTGTTCGACCCACAAAGGGTCCGGACCCACAGGTTGAGAAGTACTGGTATAGCCCATACTTTTCTTAGCAAAGCATCTTCTTATAGACCTCCATTTCCTCCTGCTGCCCACTGCCTCCCACTGAACGAGGAATTGTGAGACTTCCCAGTGAGAACTGAATTAATTCGGCCTAGAAAGTATGATAACTAATTTTATGTGTTTGGAATTATTTCAGCACAGTATGGAGTATTTGCACACACACACATAATGCATTTCCCAAATAAAATAGATTGGACAAAACAGGGCTTGCAGGGTAAAGTCTGAACCCCTGAGAAGAAAACCCTCTTGCCCTTGTGTGATTGGCTCTTGAGAAAGTAGCTCTTGCTTTTGTATGCATCCACTCTCTATGCCCAGTGAGATTTGCTTGGATTGTGTTTGCTCCTCTGCCTGGTGATCAGGAAATTTGAGTTGATGGTCTGGCTTCCCTTAAATTGATTACTCTGAGAGCAGACACTGGAAGCTAAGATAAAAGCTTTTAGTGAACAGGAAGTCCTGGTGTGAGGGGCAGGAATGGTGAGCATCTAGCTGGCTAGGACCTTCCAGAGTGGGGACGCAGGGGTGTGCCCATCAGTTGTCGTGTTTGATTGGGATCCAATAATGCATTGTATTTATTGCCAATTAAAATTGAGCATCTGGCCTAAAAGGGATTGGAATTTACTTACTTCCTTCTTCCCCTCCTCCCTTTCCTCCTTTTCTTTCTGCCTTCTCCTTCCCTACTCTCTCTCTCTCTTTATCTAATTGGATCTCATCTATGTCAGGCTAACCTGGAACTCACAGTATAGCTGAGGACACCCTTGAACTTCTGATTGTCTGCATTCTGCTAG